ATTACACGGGGTATGATTTTTTTAGACGTAAATTTTCGATTGTAAAATTTCTTTCAACTTCTTCACAAGTTCAATTGTACCCCCTAATTTTAAAACTCTGCGTCCACCCCTGGGCCCATCCCATAGGTATTCAATTAGAACTTCATTATATGTTAGGTTTCATTGTATTATATTATTCGAAGTAGCCACACCTCCTTTAATTATTGTTGATATACTGATGGTTTTTTCTCGTCTTGAATTTCTACATAAATCTCGTGTCGTTCTTATTTTGCGAGTTTAGGTACGTGTCAAACTTCTAGTAAACCAGAATTATTTCAGCATTAAATTGAACCCAACTAACAACCATCCATTTATCCAATCAAATATTTTGTCGTATACCACCCCCCCCACCCACACACTCGGGCAGTCCTCTATATAAACGTCCCAAATGGCAAGGTTTTTTACTCACAAATCAAATTGTTACCAAGTGCGAGAAAGAACTGCATTTGCCTTGTATTTTATATTATCTTCTGCAATGGCTTCATCTGGAATTGTGAAGGCAATGTGCTTGGTACTGATTACGGTGGCCCTGGTGGCACCACTGGCCGAGGCAGCAGTCTCATGCAACACAGTGGTGGGTAGCCTGAAACCCTGCTTCCCTTACGTGATGGGTGGCAACATGGTGTCGCCTGCCTGCTGTGGCGGAATTAAGTCTCTCTATGGTGCAGCCAAAACCACACCTGACCGCCAGTCGGTCTGCTCCTGCCTGAAATCTCTGGTTGGATCTAACAAGAGTATCGACTTTGGAAAGGCCGCTGGCCTCCCTGGAAAATGTGGTGTCAGTATCCCATATAAGATCGCCCCTTCCACTGATTGCTCAAAGTAAGTAACAAATATCTCTCTCCTTTCTCCATTGGTACTCATTATTCTCTCAGATTTAGCTTGAAAAATAAGATTTGTCTAATGGATTCTTGTGGTGCAGGGTGCATTAATTTCATCTGTGATTCGGAGGTTTCTGCTGTAGCCTATATATCATTTGTATGGTTATGAACTATATGAATAAATAAAGAGCGTTTTTGTATTCTGAGAATGTAGAGAAAACCCGGTGTTTTCTTTGGCTGTACTGTCTGTAATCCACTTATGACTTATGAGTATGTTATGTTATTCTGAATAAATCCGAATGATGACCTAATAAAATTCATTTCGTGCAATATGAAACGACTAATTGCTATTAACTTGGTCCGAGACTACCAATGGCAAAGTCACGGGTCCATCGACCTTCAAAAAGTTGTACACGTATAAACAAAAATGAGACTAAAAAGTAACCATGTACGTCAAACTAATAAGTATTTAGAACACAAGTCCATTGGTTAGAACCAATGGAAACGAATTTTTTCATGAAAAATGTCACGTAAGAGGAAAACAAATTTCACTTTGACCGTTTGATTGCAACGATGAAATGGAAACCGAATTCCAAAGTATAACCAGTTTATA